CAGAGTTTAATAGAGGTTCTGTGTGATTCCGTGGGTTTGTAGATGTAATTCTTGGTATATTTGTGGGAGAGGGCAAGCTGTGAGTCCCCTCTATTCTGCCACCTTGGCACCTCCCCTCTATTTAATTATTTTTTAAATTAACAAACCCAGGACCTCATGCATGCTAAACATGCACTCTATCCTTGAGCTATACCCTCCCACCCCCAGAAGTTTTTCTTTAAAGCCAGGGCTTTTCCCTCCCCTTGGGGGTGGCTCTAGGTTTGTGGAAACCAGAGGTGGTCTTTGTTTCCTTATAACTGAACTCGACATTGCTGTCTTTGTCTCCCTCTCCTTTGACCCAATAAGCTCTTGGCTCCAAACTTCGCTCACACCCTGGAGAGCTACCATCTTTAGCATATTAGGTGTCCTTCTCTTAATCAGATTTAGCTGCTGCTGTCTGCATTGTATCTGTGGTATCTGGTTGCAGTCTACCTCTGCGTACCTGACTCCAGGGATGTTGAGGAAGAGGGGTGGACCAAGACTGTGAGGGTTGTGCAGGGTGTGTAGGGGTGGAGTGTGTGGTCAGGCCACTCACGATGGCTGCTGTCTTGCTGTCTGTACGTTACCTGCACAACCTGTCCCCTACCCCCAGCTAGTGATCGTTCTAATCCTTAGGCCAAAACAGCTGCATCCTGTTTATCAAAAGGAAACACCTGTCCATGAGTCTTAACCCTAGGGGTTATGAGGGATGTGCCCCTCAGCTGGTTTCCTTGGTAACCAGTGAGCAAACCTGACAACTCCCCCCATAACTGGAAACCTCCTTCTCCCCCTGGTAGCCAAGACAGCTGCCCTGTCATTGGTTCCTAAATCCAGTTGGCAATGTGATCGCCTAGAGTCAGAAGGCAAGAGAGCACCTGAGGTTACCTTTGAAACACCGCTAAGCCCGCTCCCTAGGGCTGTAGCCATCCTCAGAAATATGCATGTGTGGATTCGGTTGGTCTGTTCCCCATGCAGCTTGGAAATCAGAGCCTCAGCCCAAAACTTAGAGATGAGAGAACCCGGAAGATGTCATTATACTGCCCTGTGTGCTGGGGGAAGGAGCAGCTCTGGTCTCTTTGGCCACATCACATGTGATGTGGTTCACAGGGGATTCACCCCCACAGGCGAGCCTGTGCTGAAGAAAGCATCCATGTCTGCAAGCCAGGAGCTTGCAGTGAATCCACGGTAATCTATAAAATAAATCGGGAAAACTTGAATGCTTTACTAGGAAGGTGTTATTTATGACACACTTTTCAGTAGATAAAGTCACCATATGGTCTTCCAAACTGAAGTTGAGGCCTCCAGCTGGGCACCTGTTTCCACAGCCTACCTCCATCATTTCACCCACACAGCACCTTTATTTGAACAAGGAAGAAGTTAGATTGTTCTCTTTGAGAAGCCGCAGGGCAGAGTGGTTAAGAACAAGGCTTTGGATCAAGCAGCACCAGCTGCAGCCCTGCCTCCCTGGACCTTGTTATGGAGTGACCTTGGGCAAGTTATACGCCCTAAGCCCGACATTGTTTTTTGTTGTTGTTCTCTTATTGAAGTATAGTTGATTAACAATGTTGCGTTAGTTATAGGTATACAGCAAAGTGATTCAGATTATACATATGTGTGTTCTTTTCCAGATTCTTTTCCATTAGAGGTAGTTACAAGGTATTGAATATAGTTCCCTGTGCTTTATCATAGAACCTCATTGTGTATCTACTTAATATATATTAGTGTGTATCTATTAATCCCAAACTCCTAATTTATCCCTCCCCCTTTCCCCTTTAATAACAATATATTCGAATCGTCTGTTTTGTAAATAAATTCATTTGTATCATTTTTTAAAGATTCCATATATAAGTGATACCGTATATTTGACTTTCTCTGACTTCACTTAGCGTGATAATCTCTAGGTCCACCTATGTTGCTGAAAATGGCATTTTCAATATTTTTTATTGACTGAGTAATATTCTCGTGTGTGTGTGTGTGTGTGTACACACATACACACCACATCTTTATCCAGTCATATGTCAATGGACATTTAGGTTGTTTCCATGTCTTGGCTATTGTAAATAGTGCTGCTATGAACATTGGGGTGCATGTATCTTTTTGAATTAGTTTTTGTCTTCCGGATATATGCCCAGGAATGGGATTGCTGGATCATACTGTAGCTCTATTTTCAGTTTTTTAAGGAACCACCATCCTGTTTTCCATAGTGGCTGCACTTACATTCTCACCAACAGTGTAGGAGGGTTCCCTTTTCTCCACACCCTCTCCTGTATTCATTATTTGTACTTTTTGATGATGGCCATTCTGACTAGTGTGATACTTCACTATAGTTTTGATTTGAATTTCTCTATTAATTAGTGGTGCTGAACATCTTGTCATGTGCCTATTGGCTATCTGTATGTCTTCTTTGGAGAAATGTCTAGGTCTTCTGCCCATTTTCTGATTGGGTTGTTTGATTTTTCTTTTTTTATTGAGTATATGAGCCGTTTGTATATTTTGGAAATTAATCTCTTGTTGGTGGCATCATGTGCAAATATTGTCTCCCAGTCTGTGGGTATTTTCATTTTGTTCATGGTTTCCTTTGCTGGGCAAAAGCTTTTAAGTTTATTTAGGTCCCATTTATTTAGTTTTGCTTTTGTTACTGTAGGAGGCAGATCAAAAGAAATATTGCTGCGATTTACTGACACCATTCTTCTAAAAGTGGGCTTAACATTAGCACAACTAGCATTAACTCACAGTGCCAAGTGCCTGCACACAGCGAGTACTTAGTAGCTATTAGTCCCTACTAGTGTCACCTTCTCTCACCTCTACTGTGACAAGCTCTTTGAGGAGCTTTGTGTTATTTCCTTATGCTTAACACAGTGCCTGGCACAGGACAGTTCTCAAGCATAGATTTGAATGGATGAATCCATCTATCCATCGTCTATGCATTCAACATTTATTGAGCAAGTGCTAAATGCCAGGTACTTATTCTATGCACTAAAGATGGAGCAGTGATCCAAACAGCAAAGTTCTGGTCTCTTGGTGCTTATGTTCTAGTAGGGGAAACAGATAAGCACATACACAGTTCAACACGGAGAAAAACAGAGCAGAGTTAAGGGGTTTAGGGAGAGCCAGGGGTGGGTGAGGCTGCTCTTTTACTACCACAGAAGGTCCCTCTGAGAAGGTGACATGTGAGCAGACACTTAAAGGAAGTGAGGGAGCAAACCACACAAATACGTGCAGCATGTGTGTTCCAGGCCGAGGGAACGGCAGGTGCAAAGGGCCTGAGGCGGGCACATGGGGGGTGTTTCTGAAGAATGAGATGCTGCTGTGACTGGAGGAAGATAAATAAAAGGGCTTTGATCTCTTGATTAAAAATGAGCACACAACACAATCCAGTAATTGAAAAAGATGTATTAAAATATTCACAAAAGTACAGCAACTGAAAAAGAAAACAAAATAATGAGCTTGATGGTTTTTTACCTAGCTGGATACATTTCCATTGAAAAACTACAGATAGTTTGAAATGTTAATCTCTAATCCCTTTTTGATGTCCCCTTAGAGAAAATCATGCATAATTTTAAGAGGTCTCTTTATTGCCCTGCCACTTGGAAGCAACCCCACTGTTGTCAAATCTGTGGCCAGGGACAGGGATGCTGGGACATAGGAGAAAGGGCCAAAAAAGATCCTCAGGAGGTGGTGTGAAGAGGTTTTTGGAAAAAGCCCCAAACCTGAGGGGCTCACACCCAAGCGTGAGCAGCTTCCCTCGGATGAGTCAGTCACAGCCCAGAGTGGGAGGCTCGTAACTGACCACCCTGTCCAGCAGTGGAGGGTGGAGAAAGGTGGGCAGGAGAAGGCCAGGCCGAGAAGGAGGCCCGGGGGGGAGGCAGGGCAGGGAAGGCCCACAGCAGCGGTCAGCGGAAGTGCCAGCTGGTGCTCTGCATGGCAACTTCGCCAACATGCAAAGAAA